CGCCGCCTCCACCTCCTTCTGCCCCAGAGGCCGCTTCGCAGGGAAAGTTACATAACGCGCCTGCAAAGCCTTCTGGGAAACGTAGTCCCGCCGGGGCTGGTTCTTAAAGGGGAAGGCGAGCTGTAAGTGGGGCTCGCCGCCTCTCCGCGCGCAACCCTTTCTCCTCCTTATCATTCGGCGGGGAATTCGGCGACTCTTTTAGGACCCTGGGCACAAAAGCTGAGAGCACGGATACGAATAATTAGAGATACCACGAATCCAGACTCTGTGGAGGGTGCGACCTGCCGGGCATCCAATTTCTGCTCGGATTTACTGTGCAGCTTTAAGCAAGTCTTGCCCTCTCTGAGCCTGTTTCCCCGCCCACTGAGGGTGGGCCAATGACCGGTTAAAAAAGCAACAGCCCTCCCCACGAGGCGGGACGGAGCAGTCCTGATTGGATGCTTTCAGGACAGAAAATGGGACGCTGGCAACCTGGGAGGAGTTGGTCACTTGGCACTTTGTCTTCCCCCAGTATCCTAGATATCGGCCTCTAGGGCCGGCCACAGTCAAGAGGATCGAGGGCTTCTGAGCCAGGTTCTTGCCTGTTTCCTCACCTGCTAAAGAAGGGATACGGCCCAACACTCCGACTTTCAACTCTGCCGACGCACGCTGGTTTCCAAAGGGTTACACTGTTGGGCTCGCTGCCCCCCCCAACTTCACTACAATTCCCAAAATGCTTTGCGGGGCGGGCGAGCTGACGCACTTCCGCTGTCTGGGAGGTGGGGGGGGTTCCCATATGTCTGCTTGCCCCCCCCCCCTTCTGGGGTTCTTTGCGTGTTTTGCGAGCGCTGGGTTCCGGGGACCTTTACTATCTATTTCTCAGTAGTTTGGGGTGGGGGGGAGAAAAGGAAGCCAATAGATGGCGAGCGAAGGTTTCTGGGCTAGGCAAACGCCAGGCTACTTCTCCCCAACCTTAAGTGGTTACTACCTGGAAGGTCCAGACAGAATTTGGGGACCCCGGGGTTTTCTCCCCCAGCGTCAGGAACAGCGCGAGGCCGATTTCGAGAGGTGAAAGGCGGATCTCTGGCTTCTGGCCCACCTCAGTCCCTTCCTTTTTAGGCCTGGTTCTGTTAGCACTCAAAAACACTTGGGTTTGCCAGGTAGCGTTCATCAGAGGTTCTCAATCAAGTCCGAGGCTGCACGGCCCTCGCCAGTCCCTGCCTTTCCCTCCCGACTGCAGTCACAGCAGCTGTAATTTTTATGTTATGCAAACTTCGGTTTCAGTTTGACAATTTTACCTACCACCTGAATTAACATTCTTCTCCCTTGAAAAAAAAAATGTTTTGCTTCATCCTAGGCAATCATGAGTTTCATGTAGTAGCAACATTAAAAAAACAATGAGGACCAGTAGGTGGCGTTAATAGCTATATCTTTGGCCTCCCATGTAGTCAGCTACAGTTCGAGTCCTGGACCGGGTGGCTTAAACTCACACCAGGCGAGTGTGTGTCGTGCCCAAGATCCTGAGAGAATGGAGAAGGGATTGTGGAGTGCCCATCCCCCCTGGGGGGGGTGATTTCTCCCTTTCCATGTCTGTGTCTTTCTGGCGAGCACACATGCACTACAGCAAAAACCTCTCCCCCCCAAAAAACACAAAAATCAAACACACACACTGGGTGTGTGTGTGTGTGTGCCAAAAATCCCGAGATGAGAATGGAGAAGGGATTGTGGCTTGGTCTTTCCGTTAGGGGGTGATTTCTCCCTTTCTGCCCGTCTCTCCCACCAGCAAATGAGATCTATACCAAAAAATGTCTCTAAAAATAATAATGGGGTCGGTAGGGGCATAGTTATATCTGAACTTCCACATGGCTAACCATGGTTCCAGTCGCAGTGGCTTCAAACTCAGGCTGGGTGCATGTGCACCCAAGATCCTGGGAGAATGGAGAAGGGATTTTCATTTTCATCATTTTCCCTTCTCACTGTTTCTCTCTCTGGTAAGTGCACATGCCCTAAGGCAAAAAAATCTCTTACAAAGAAAATGGGGCCAGGAGGTGGCATAGTGGTTATGGACCCAGCAGATTGAAAAATCATGCCAGGCACGAGTGCATATGAGACTGAAATCACAGGAGAACGGAGGAGGAGAGGGGGTTGTGGCAGGGCCGTTCCTACATGGGAATAATTTCTCACTTTCCCTCTCACTGTCTCTCTAGTGAGCACATGCGCACGCCCTATGGCAAAAATCTTCAAACAAAACGAAACATTAAAAAGGCCATTTGTGTGGGGTCAGCAGGTGGCAAGGTGGTTAAGGCAGCTGGATTCTAAGGTCAACCATAGTTTGAGTCCCGCGCCCAGCTATTTGAAAATCACGACGGGTGTATGTGCATATGTGCCTAAGATCCCAAGAGGACTAAGAAGGGACTGGGGAGTGGCCATCCCTCCTGGGGTAATTTCTCCCTTTCTCTGTTTTTCTCCGGAGAGCACACATGTGGCTCTGTGGCAAAAATCTAAGAAAAAGGCATTGATTTTCATGGTACTGGGTCACTGGAAAAGTCATGACTTCATTTTTTGCATTCCTATGCAGAAATGAGTAACGACTTCTCCGACAACCAAATATTTAGTAAGCGCTATAGTTCTTGCCAGATTCAGGCTTCAGGTGGACTGATTGGCCTCTGAGCAGCTGTGACATGAGGCAAACTTCCAAATTCTGAGAATGGAGATTCCCCTCAGCCAGGCCTTGGGGCACACGCAGGAACGACACTGCAGTGCTGGAAGCACAGGATCCCCCACAGGTTCTGAGTGGACCTCTAACAACTGGGGCCTGTGTGCCCAAAATCCCGACTGGAGGGCTGGGGAAGGGGCTACAGCATGAGACCTTGTTGAGGACGCGCCTCCTTCTCTCTCAGAAATGACACATTATTTTTAGAGATTTTTGCTGCTCACCAGAGCGCGCACATCCCCGGGTTTGTGTGTGTGACCATGCGGCAATCCCCTCTCCTTCGTCCTCTTAGGACTTTGGGCATACATGTACATGTGCCTAGTCTGAGTTTTAAGCCACTGGGCCTGGGACCTGAACCACAGTCCACTACATGGGGGTCCGGCGACGTAAACACACCATATGTGCTGGTCCTGAAAAGAAATTCCTTTTCTGGAGAGGTTTTTGCTATGGGGCGCATGCACATCAGAAAGAGAGAGACAGAAAGTGAGAAATCGCCCCCCCAAAGGGGATGGCCACACTGCAATCCCTTTTCCATTCTCCTCTCAGGATCTTGGGCACGCACGCACACGCGCCCAGCGTGAGTTTAAGCTGCCAGGTCCAGGACTCGAACCGTGGTGGACTACATGGGAGTCCAGCGACATAGCCATTACTCCAACTGCTGGTCCCGAAAAGAAACTTTTTTTAAAAAAAGAAAAGTAGGGGCCAGCCGATAGCATAGTGGTCACATCGCTGGACTCCCAAATAGCCAATGCAATTCCAGTCCTGGACCCATGCCAGGTGCATGTGCATGCATGCCCAAGAGCCCGGGAGAATGAAGAAGGGATTATGGTGTGGCCATGCCCGGGGGGTGATTTCTCACGTTCTGTCTCTCTGTCTCCTTGGCAAACACATGAGCCCATAGCAAAAATCTCTTAAAACAAAACAAAAATAGTGCAGAAGAAAAATATACTCTTACCAAAGGATGTAAATGAATTAGGTACAATAAAAAAGAGTTCAAACTGTTTAAAAAAATGTGTCCTGCTAATGCCTTAATAGAAATATCTAATCTCCTAAGGCAATATAATTTTCCACAAATTAAAAGATGACTTTTGACAAGAATTCATATAGTTCAGTGAAGTAAATGAGCAAATATCAGCCATTATGTCCATGACATAAGGTGCTTCAAATTTTTTTTCTTCTTTTTATGTTTGAGTTCACACCTAGAGAAGTTTATGAGTTGTTCAGAACTTTATAGCTGTACACACTCAATATTTCCTGGGAAATATGTGTTTACCTTGAGAGTGAAAAGAACATAAAGTTAAAATACTTCTCTTTTCTTCATGTTTTAGGAAATAAAGTTTTGGAATTTTGAGACTGCGATAGTTCCTCCTTTAATATTACAGGCGTATTGGTCTCAAATTTAAATAAATAAATAATTTGATTTATATAGAATATATATACGTATATATATATGTATATACATATATATACACATATACATATATATGATGTTTTTATAAATTTGCATAGATTAACATACATGAATTTAAAGAGAATCTAGTTTTGATAGATATGTATCTAGAAATGTGCTTTAATTAAAAATATTACTTTCTTCTAAAGAATATAGAGACCTGTCAAAAGAAATCACTTTTTCAGATAAGTGGATTTCATTTTTGTTTTTTTGAAGCAACATTTGGAAAACACTTAAGGATATAAAATAATGAATACGCAATATTTTACTTCTCTTTGTCTCTGTGTGTCTGTGCATGTGTGTGTGTGTGTGTAAATGTTATTTAGAATTTAAACAATTTATAATATATTCATGCTGGAACCATCCATTTTGTATGTTGTAATGATACACAATGACTGAATGTAAAAAGAAAATAATAATAAAATAAAAATATTTTAAAAACCCAAGGAAATTGTGCTTTATATGCTACAAAGAATTTAGAAAGTTTCTATCAATATCTTATGTATGAAAAGTAATTCCTAATATTCAATTCTATCTGAGTGACTTTTAGAGAAGTAAACATTAAACTTTCTGTATCTAGTAAAAAATAAAAAACTCTTAATATGCTATTTATGCTGT